TAGTTAGAATTATAATAATTTCAGTATTAATATCAAATTTACTCTGTAATGATTAATTTTTAAAATATTTTACTTAGAAAAAAATATATAATTTTATTATTACAATAAACACGAGTGAAATTCTAATTATAATTTCATAAAAAATTATATTTTGAAACATATAATTTTGCTATGTTCTGAATTAAATTATTAAAAAAATTAAGACTCAAGTTCAACAAAAGTTATCATTCCGTCATTACAATAATAATTTACCTTTACCTTAATAAGATATGGTTGTGATCTGCTGTCACGACTCTAGGAGGTTAGCTGACGACTTCTTACATATATTCATATATATACACACACACACACACACACACACACACACACACACACACACACATACATATATATACTATATCCGGCTGAAGAAGCTACGTGAACCCAGATATTTCTTATTCAAAGTTTTCTTGTCAATTTTGTGTTTACAATGTTCCAGAAAAAAAAATTTATCTACCTTTATCTTCTGTTTGGATTACAGTTCGTATATTCATCTTCTACCAACTTCACAGACCAATCTGCTTTGTTAGCCTTCAAGTCTGCAATCAGCAATGATCCGGAAAACTCTATTTCTGATACCAACTGGACTTCATCCAAACCTTTCTGTCACTGGAATGGCGTTTCTTGTGGCAAACGTGGCCTAAGAGTCAGAGCTCTGAACCTCTCTTTCATGGCTCTTGAGGGTTCCATTTCTCCTCACCTTGGTAACCTCTCTTTCTTGACCTCACTTGATCTTGGTAACAACAGCTTCCATGGCGGAATACCAGGTGAAATAGGTAGGTTACACCGCCTGAGAATTCTCATATTGCGTTTTAATAACTTGGAAGGCCATATCCCACCCAGCTTCTGCCATTGCCAAAAGCTCCAGTTCCTGTCCCTTGAAGGAAATAGATTGAGTGGTGGCATACCAGAAGAAATCGGTTGGTTGCCAAGACTTGGGGCCTTGTATCTGAACTCGAACAAATTCATCAGTGGCGGAATTCCTTCTTCGTTAGGCAACAGATCAACTCTGCAAATCTTGTCTTTGCGAGAGATGAAGCTCGAAGGTTCGATCCCTCCCTCTCTTCTTAACTTGTCTTCTCTTGTTAGTCTTGATCTGACAAGGAATGCTATCACTGGCAATCTTCCTGTTAATCTTTGCCATGGTTGGCCTAGAATTCAAGTCCTTCATCTTGCTTTCAACCAACTTGGAGGTCACCTCCCTTCAAATTTTTCTGGGTGTAAAGACCTGGTGTCTTTGTCTTTGGGGTACAACAGCTTTGAAGGGACAATTTCAAGTGAAATTGGGACCTTGCAAAAGCTCCAGGTGCTGAATCTTGGCGGCAACAATTTGACTCTAAAATTCCCTCTTTTATAAGCAACATGTCAAGCTTACAGAGACTTTACATAGAAGAAAACCATATGAATGGTAATATTCGGAGGACATAGGGACTCTTTCCAATATAAGAGAAATCATCGCGAAATGAATACTCTGTCCGGAGACATTCCCAGAAATATTTTGAATATTTCCTCTCTAGAGATGCTCTCGTTAATGCAAAATTCTCTTTCTGGAAATCTTCAATCAGATGGGTTATCGCTCCCAAATCTTGAAATGCTATTTTTGGGTGACAATAAACTCAGGGGAAACATACCATCATCATTGTCAAATTCCTCCAACCTTGTCCATATCGATGTTGCTACGAACTTTCTAACAGGACCCATACCTTTGAATCTTGGCAACTTACAGCATCTTAGATATCTTGCTTTACATAGAAATCATCTTACAGGAGACCCTGGAAGCCCTGAACTTAGTTTCCTTACAGCTTTATCAAACTGCAGATCTCTGGAAACATTAATTTTGCATAGCAATCCCCTCAAGGGTAGAATCCCCGAATCTATAGGGAACTTTTCAAGTTCCCTTAGGATATTTTATGCACCGGACTGCCAATTACAGGGTCATATACCGAGTGCAATAGGGTCTTTAAAGAAATTGGCATTACTTGAACTGAGTGGCAATGATCTCACCGGAAATATTCCATTAACAATAGAGGGAGTAGAGATGCTTCAGGAGTTCCACGTCAACGACAATAAGCTTGGAGGATTGATCCCAGAAGAGATCTGCTATTTAAGGCAGCTGACTGAATTAACCTTTCAAAATAATAAAATCTCTGGATCCATCCCAGCTTGTTTCGAAGATTTCAGTCATCTTCAGATACTATCTCTAAGTTCAAACAGATTGAGATCATCAATACCACCAAACTTATGGACCCTGAAAAGTCTCAGGTCTTTGAACTTGTCATTCAATTCTCTCACCGGATATTTGCCTTTGAATGTGAAGTCCTCACTAGTCCTTGAAAGGATAGATTTTTCTTCAAACCACATAACAGGAACCATTCCAAGCACTATTGGGGATTTTGAAAGCCTTACTTTTCTTAGTTTATCAAGAAACTCAATTCATGGACATATACCAGATAAATTGAGTAAGTTGAAAGGACTGGATTCCTTGGATCTATCATACAATAATATATCAGGCAGTATACCCAAGTCTCTTGAGACACTTCATTCTCTCAAGCACCTAAATTTATCTTTCAATCAACTTTCCGGGGAGATTTCCTAGCGGTGGGAGCCTTTGCAAAATTTAACTGCAAAATCTTTTTATTTGGGGAACCTGGGAAATCTGTTTCTGGAAATCCAATTTTGGGACATCCACCTTGCATAATCTCCAGAAAGATCTAGGGGCCAAAAATGTCATTCTCAAGTATGTTGTTCCAGCCATTGCATC